TCACTGCTACCACAATCTCAACCTGCTGGGTTCAGGCGATCCTTCTGTCTTGGCCTACAGGTACCACCACCACATCTGGCTAATTTTTTAATTTACTGTAGAGAAGAGGTCTTGCCATGTTGCCCAGTCTTGTCTTCAGCCCCAAGCAAGCGATCCTCCCACCTTGACCTCCATAAGTGCTGGAGGTGAGCCACTGCAGTAGGCTTAAGAACTGCTGCTTTTATGGATAGCAGTTCCAAGGTGAATAAGCAACATCCTGTTTGGAAGGCCACTCCTCCAAGTGAAGAAGATAAAAAACAGATCAGCTCAGTGGGTCTGATTTGCATCCTGTTTTTCTGACAGTGATAAAATAATTGAACAATGGCAAAGACCCCTATGTTTGGGCTTTTAATGACTCATGGGCAATAGCCAATGTCCCAGTCATATGGTCAGGTAGTCAGTCAATAGAAAATTGGACCATTCAAGGGCCGCCCATATAGGTAGTCTCATACACTTATCTCAGTAGTTCCAAATAAAGTCTGCTTTGTCATTTTAAAAGTATCACATGGTCACATGATGTGGCTTGTGCCTGTAATCCTAGCACTTTGGGAGGTCAAGGCGGGAGGATCGCTTAAGACCAAGAGTTCAAGACCAGCTTGAGCAACATAGCGAGACACCATTTCTACAAAGAATGAGTTGGTCATGAAGGCATATGCTTCTAGTCCCAGCTATTTGGGAGGCTGAGGTGGTAGGATCGCTTAAGCCCAGGAGACTGAAGTTGCAGTGAACTATTTTCGCGCCCCTGCACTCCAACCTGAGCGACAGAGAGAAATCCTGTCTCTTAAAAGAAAAAAGTATCATGAATCATTTTTAAACAACATAATAATATTAAGATTTTGTTTATCACAAAATAAAGCTAATATTATGAAACTACTGGTCAAAGCTGGTATAATTCTACAGCATTTAGAATCAAGGTTATGGGAACCTATTTTCTGTCATTAAAATATCAGGTTTGCTTTTATAATTTATAAACTCCATAACCAACAAGCTATGATGTCGACTTGAGCATGTCTAACATTAATGATTAGAAGGCTCCCAATTTTTTCAAGAAAACTTCAAGAGGCTGCCATTTTCTGACAAGGTTAATTCACGTACAACCCACAGGAGGGAGGAAAAGGACAAAGAGAGGGCAGAGAAGCACCGCAGAGGCACACAGGATGCAGCATGGTGTGGGCAGTGGATAACTGTGAAGAGCCAGCAGCAATAAGATGGCCTCAATATGTTCCTGAGATTTTAATTACTGATATCAAAAGTTAGACACTGGTGTTTAAATTCCCCTTTTATTCCTCCACTATTGTTCTGAGAAGAGAATCCTATTCTGATCTCCCCCACTGTCCTGCTCTAGGTGTTTCCAGGCCACAGAAGGAAATGTTCTTTTCAGATCCGGGTTCGCAAGGAGAACCTGGGTGGTACATTCTCTACTTACCAATTTCTAGCTAATTACCACTGCAGTGTGATATACATACTCTTTAAATAACAGATTGAATCTGTTTAAATGGGCTGTGGCCCAGAATTTCAAATCTGTCTAGAAGGACATTTTCATCACTGAAATCCATCTACTTTGATTCACTTTGGGTTTTTATGGTAATTGTCCAGCACCTGCAATGTTTTTAAATTTATGGCATAGCCTTAACAGTGAATAAGAAATGAGGCATCGCATGTTATTAAAATCCCCTTACACAGAGTTAGGAAAAGTAGAGAAGGGCAGTGGAGTACAAATCAACATAATGACTCTTATTTCATTCATTTAAATGAAATGTCTTTCTCTAATGGAAGAGATATTGTCAATGTTAAAACCTGCATTTACACAGAGCTTTCATTTTGTACTCTACAATTATGTAGCATGCTACCTTTACAATAGAGTTGCATAGTGAGTTAATCATTTAAAAATAAATATTAGCCGGGCTCGGTGGCTCAGCCTGTAATCCCGTGCCTTTGGGAGGCTGAGGTGAGTGGATCGCCTGAGCCCATGGGTTCGAGACCCGCCTGGGCAGCGAGACCTCATCTCTACAATAAATAAAAAAATCAGCCGGGCGTGGTAGCGCATGCCTGTAATTCCGGCTACTCGGAAGGCTGAGGCAGAAGGATCGCCGGAGCCCAGCAGGCCGAGGCTGCGGTGGCCGGGAGCGGACACTGCACTCCAGTCTGGGCGACAGAGTGAGACTCCAACTCAAAATAAAATAAAATAAAATAAAATAAATATTGAGAAAGATAAGGTAAGATCCAAAGCCTAATTCTTAGTGGTACTACAGAGCTTACTAGCTGTATGAACTTGGGCAAATGACTTAGCTTCCCTGAGCCTCAACCTCCTACTTGATAAAACATGTTGAAACAGTACTATCCTATTGTGGAGAGGATTAAATGTAGAAAAAAGACCCAAATGTACAATACATTTCTGTGGCACAATTTCTGATGTAGAGTGATTTTTAGGGAATGGTTATAAACTTACTGTAAGGTTCTTTGGTCTGACACATTAAACTTTTTAAAAAGCTTGTTCTGATCTTAGGATTCACTCTGTTGTTCCCAGCATACAATCAAGTTACAAAAAATACTCAGGAGTACAAAATCATGTCCATAAAATGCTTATTCTTCTTCATTTGAAACAGAAATAAATCTATAGATATTAATCAATTAAAACTTCTCAAGAGACTCCATTCACCAAATGGGACAAGCTAGTCAAAAAGAGCAGAAAGATGAGAGCTCAAGACAGACCACAAGCAATGAGACATGACGTGCTATCTGAAAGAGGAAGAATGATAATGGATGGTTTTGTTTTCCTCTAAAAAAAGCACAGTCTAAAAGAATATTTACTAGGTTCTCAACACTGGAACAAATGTCTTTACTACCTCATTTAAAAAAGTTATATGTTAAATGTAGTAGTAATATGTTGAACCTTCACAACTTAAAGATAAGGTATAATTTACAGGAGATGATATGGAACTAATAAAACTAGGAGTAATTATAGCAGCAGCAGCTATCATTTAGTCAGTGTCAGTTATACTCTTGAGTATTTTGTACAGGTTTTCTTATTTAACCTTCGCAATAAATCAGTGAGAGACAGAAGAAAAAAAATATCCCCAAGCTATTATTCCTATAGAGATACTCAGAAAGATCATGAGTATGTAACTTGCCCAGTGCAAATGGTTAATAAGTAACAAAGTACATATTTGAACCCAGGATTGTCATGACTTAAAAAACCAATATTCACAACTGGGCATGGTGGTATGCTCCTGTCACCTGTAGTCCCAGCTATTTGGGAGGCTGAGGTAGGAGGATCGCTTGAGTCCAGGAGTTCTAGGCTGTGGTACATTATGATCTCACCTATGAATAGCCACTGTACTCCAGCACGGACAACACAATAAGACTTCATCTCTAAAAATACCTACTCCCCATATTTCTAACTCAGACTGCTTCTCTAGGTAGAATATTAGGAAATTGAATTAAATGGTCTTTAAGATCCCTTGTAAGCCCAGAATTTAAAATTATTTTTTTCTAATGGGCCAGAACACCTGAGGGCATTATGCTCCAAATCTCTTCTCGTGTCTGTACTCCCAGCTATTCAGGAGGCTGAGGCGAGAGGATCACTCACCCAGTTTAAGGCTGCAGTAAACTATGATCATGCCCCTGCACTCCAGCCTGGGTGACAGAGCGAGACTCTGTCTCTAAAGAAAATTTTTTAAATTAAATTTTAAAAATAAAATAAAATAAAATATTATAAGTACCCCCCCAAAGTGAGCTAAAGAGGAAAGAAAAGAATTTAGATGGGTCATTAGAGAAGAACTTCCTGACAACAAAAATTGAGACACTGGAACACATTATCAAAGAACACTATGTAGGATAAACTGAGAAAATACAACCTCGTGAAGGGCTGTCAACACACAAATAGTGTCAACATACACACAAGATGGGGAAGTATAAATATAGCCTACTTGGCTCAGCCTCACTATTTCAATTTAAAATAGAAAAATAAAAAAAGGAAAGTGGCAAAATAAGCTTGACAACATCAGTCAGAAGACTGCACTACGATTCTGCCAGCTTAATATAAGTTAGCAAAATGCTAATCCAAATGTTTTTCAAAGACTCCACCAATGCACAGGTACTATTTTATAATTTCCATCGGGTCACTATCCGTTAAGACACAGCATTTCTATTTCCTGTATAAATTCATATTCAGATGAGAACCAGTATCCTGGTTTAGTCTCAACACAGTCATTGTAAATGCACTGATAAAATAATTTGTTAGTTTCTTAATTATGCGCTTCTTAAGTAAGAACTCTGAATGAAAGACGCCACAAATATAACTTCCTTCTGAGATTTAAAAAAGAAAACAAAAACCACACACACTGGCAGAACTGTTAGACCTACGAAAGTCATGTGTATCTCAGGCCTGCTCACCTTCTCCATCTCACTCACATGAAATGCTCCCACAGGCAAAGATCCAAAATTGATTGCCTCAGGAAACTACAGAGTCAACAATGTCATTTATCCTTTTCCAATGTCAGTTGTTTTTTTTGGGGGGGAGGGTCTCACTCTGTCTCCCAGGTTGGAGTGCAGTAGTACAATCACAGCTTATGGCAGCCTTGACTTCCTAGGCTCAGGTGATCCCTCAACCTCAGCCTCCCAAGTAGCTGAGACTACAGGTGCACACCACTATGCCTGCTAATTTTTGATTTTTTGTAGAGAAGCAGTCTCACTATGCTGCCCAGGCTGGTCTTGAACTCCTGGGCTCAAGCAACCCTCCCGCCTTGGCCTCCCAAAGTGCTGGGATAGGTGTGAGCCACTATGCCTGGCCTCAGTTGAGTTTTGATGTGAACTTTTACTAATCTGTAAAGAATGGGAAGTCTATATGTTTCTGGTAGTAATAGAATTTTCTCTCATTATGAAATGTTTTTGTTGGATGATTATACATTATCAGGAATAAAGGGCTCTTTCCATTAAGAAATATTACAAACCCAAATCAGTCAACTGTTGTGCTCCTTCCTGTTTCTCTCTACAGTCACTACCACCTCAAAGGAAAGCACCGTCTCACCCTGGCCCCACCCATACACGTTCCCTTCACACAAAACAGAAAAGGCTATGACCACTATTTATTGGATTCCAATGATATACCCCACAGAATACAGGAGCTGGGAGCACAAGTACCTGTTTTTGGAAAACTTAAAATGTGGGAAGACCTACCTTGTGAGTAGAGAAGGATCTGCATCTCTAAAAGAACACAGGTGAACACCTGCACCAGGTTCTCTAATCCCAGGAGCTCGAATGCCTCTCGAAGGGGGTAATCGGAGAGGGGGAGTTCACTGGGCCCAGGTCTCTGGCAGATGACAGGTTCATAAACGCCATAAAACTTCAGGGATCTCCCTGGAGGCGGAAGGGGCACCTCATAAAGAATATTGTGGATGTAGCTCTCAAGAGGCAAGGGTGGTGGCTGCTGCGAAGTCACTGCCTGGTAGAGCTGGATGAGGAATTTCTTGCAGGCCTGCATGAAAGGTAGCGGTGTGATCAAGCATATGCTTTTTGAAACATACAGGGTGTCTCTGCTAATATCATAGGAGTTATATCGCTGGAGCTTCAGAAGGGAAGTCGTGTCTCCCTCGTCAATGCTGCTTGCCAGTGAGTCCATACTGCAAGAAGAGGACGCGTACACGCTGCTGTAGTGCTCTGCGTTGTGCATCTGGTACAGTGTCTGCATGGCTGTGCAGATCTGCTTACTTGTCACCTCTTCATAAAAAGTGAGAACAAAGCCATAGGTGCGAGAACCATCTTCCCTGGTAATTATAAATGAGTGGAACTGAGGGTCTTTATTATCTGTCTGTGTTCTGAAAGACAGCCCTTTAGGCATGCACAACTGTGGAGGAAGGGGAAAAGCATCAGAATGCAGTATATACATATTAGCAAACACAGGTAGAAAAGATTATAAAAAAATATGTATACAAGAGAAAAATCTTTTACTGTGTGGTATCATGTGTAGGGAGTTTTACTAGGAACAAGAAGATCTTTGATTTAAGCCCCAAGTAAACCTCTAATCTAACCAAGCTGTGACCTTCAGCAAGTAATGTAACTTCTCTAAGCCTCAGTTCTTTATCTACAACAGTCGCTATGTCAATGACTTGAAGACAGAGTATGTAAAGACACTTTACAAATATTCAATACTTAACTACTATTTTTGTAGTAATGGTGACAATGTTTCAGAGGAACAGAGAAATAGAAGGCTCATTTAATAAATGGAAAAAAGTTAAGCAAAGAATAATAAGAGCATCATCTTTGCTACTTTGAACAATATGATACTTTACTTTAGAAAAGTAAACTTTGAAAAAGGAAAGTTTTTTTTTTTTAGTTGGAGTCTCACTCCGTCACCCAGGCTGGAGTGCAGTGGCATGCTCATGGCCACCCCAGCGTTGACTTGCTGGGCTCTGGCAATCCTTCAGCCTCAGTCTTCCAAGTAGCCAGAACTATAGGCACGCGCTACCATGCCTGGCTAATTTTTTATTTATTGTAGAGATGAGGTCTTGCCAAGTTGCCCAGGCTGGTCTTGAGCCCATAGGCTCAGGCAATCCACTCACCTCAGTTTCTCAAAGTGCTGGGATTATAGGCTGAGCCACCAAGACCAGCCAGGAAAACTTTTTATTTTTTTTAAGTTTCTTTTTTTTTTTTTGAGTTGGAGTCTCACTTTCGCCCAGACTGGAGTGCAGTGGCCGCTCCCTGCCACCGCAGCCTCAACCTGCTGGGTTCCAGCGATCCTTCCGCCTTAGCCTTCAAAGTAGCCGGAACTACAGGCACGTGCTACCATACCCGGCTGATTTTTGATGACTTTTTGATTTATTGTAGAGATGAGGTCTCGCTGCCCAGGCGGGTCTTGAACCCGCAGGCTCAGGCAATCCACTCACCTCAGCCTCCCAAAGGCGCGGGATTACAGGCTGAGCCGCCGAGCCCGGCTGGAAAGCTTTTTAATTTACTAAAGCAGAAGCACAGAAACAAGCTATTTGAGATTATTTCAGATTATGTTCTAGGTCTTGGGAACTACCCAGGATTGAGTCAAACTTGGGAACATAATTACCAGAGGAGCTAAAGATGCTATGTTTAACACATTTAAAATGCACAAAAAGTTAGAGTTAGTTCCTTAAAACATTTAAAATAAAACAAACAAAACTTGAAACAGCAAGAAAAATAGAACTTGTAATTCAGCCATCCTAATGTAATCATTATTCATGCTTGTATATTTCTTTCTACTTCTGTATTGCAATATACTCTGCATGGAATAATTTAACCACACATTATTACATTGTTCTCTTCTTTTCTCCCCCATTCAATAAGTGATGCAAAATTTAGACTGTCTCCCAAATCCTTACATTGCCGAGAAAACACAATTCACCTTAAAAATCACATGTCCTTCATTCAAACCATCAAAAGACATTTATTAAATGCCCTCAAGCCTTCAGGATCTGCGAGTTATAGTAAGGACATGGCCAAGTCCAAGAACCACACCACACACAACCAGTCCCGAAAATGGCATCAAGAAACCCTGATCACAAAGATACGAGTCTCTTAAGGGGGTGGACCCCAAGTTCCGGTGGAACAGGCACTTTGCCAAGAAGTACAAGAAGGGCCTGAAGAAGATGCAGGCCAATAACACCAAAGCCATGAGTGCACGAGCCAAGGCTATCAAAGCCCTCGTAAATTCCAAGGAGGTGAAACCCAAGATGCCAAGGGTCCTAGCTGCAAACGTAATCAACTTGCCTGCAGTGTCCACCACAAGCCTGGAAACAGTGTTCATGCCCACACCACCAAGGGCCTAAGACTCTGCTGGCCAAAGGCCAAGTTAAAGCCCTGGCCACAGCTCCAGCAGCAGTTCCAGCTTCAGTGGGGGCCCAGGACTCCAGAGTAGAGGCCTCTGTCTGCCAACGTGAGGAAAGAAGGACTGGTGTGAACCCTGGGCTGCTGTCTGTGTGGGGCTGGTGTCCTCCTGTGCTATTTGTACAAATAAACCTGAGGCAGGAAAAAAATAATATAAAATAAAAGCCCTCAAGAGCCAGGCACCATGATGGTGATACAATGGTGAGCGAGACATAGTTCCTGTCCCTACAGAGCTTTCAGTTGCGTAAGAATGACAGACGATTAAAAATCCTTAAGCAATAAAGGGAAGGGCTATGATCGAGCTATGATATGGAAAATACACAGGAAAAGAACATAAATTAGACAAGAGGTAGACACCAGGAAAAATGAAGTCCAAACCGAAACCTGGGGATGCTACAGATGTTAGTAAGATAAATAATATAATAAGACTCTAGGCAGAGAGACCAACATGTGCAGCAAAAGCCCTAAGAAAGAATTTGATGGTTTGAGGAACTGAAACAAGGACAGTGTGAGTGGGGCACAGAATGCAAGGTGGAGGAAGTGAGAGAAAACAAGAGAAAGAATTAGGGGCTAGCCATGAAGGGCTTGGTGAGCCACATTAGAATTCTGAGAAGGACAATGGGAAATCTCTGAAGGGTTTTAGCAGAGAGGAACAGAACTAGATGTGCCTCTGAGCACCTCAATCTTGGAGCACTGAAGAGGAGTGGTTTTCCAAGTGGTTCCAAGGAGACAGGCACGCCTCAGGGCCTTGGAAGGGAGTGAGAGGCAGGAGGAAGAAGTTGAGAGGGTCAATGCTCTTCCCTCCTCTATGCACAGAACACTTTATTTTGTAGAGTAGGGATCTTTCTGTGTTAAAATTTCTGGGTTCCTACTGCTTAACAATAACCAAACTTGATGGTAGGACAGGATTAGTGCAACAACATCGTCATTCAGCACAAAGGTGAGTGGGTGTCCTAATTACTCCTCACAGCCACTTCACTTCAGATCATGGTCCTTCCCTCCTCCCCAAAAGCCCTTGGCTTTGAAGCTCATGTCATCAGATTATGCCATCACATTTTGGCACTCTTTTCTATCCAACCTTATCTCCTGAGCAATTTCTTCCATGATTTTAGTTATACTCTGTCAACATCCAAATTTACTGACTTATGAACTTGACTCTTAACTGAGTATCTACTTTACAATCCCATCAAGATGTCTACTAGGCCAGCAGTCCCAACCTTTGTCATCAAGGACTGGTTTTGTGGAAGATGATTTTTCCATGGATGGGGGGAGGTGGGGCAGATGTATCATCAGGCATTAGATTCTCATAAGGAGTGTGCAACCTAGATCCCTCGCATGCGTAATAGGGTTTGCACTCCTATGAGAATCTACTGCTGCCGCTGATCTGACAGAAAGCAAAGGGCCACTTGCTGGCTGCTCACTTCCTGCTCTGCAGCCCATGTCCTAGCATGCCACGGACCGTTACTATTTCTAGTTCCACACACTCTTTAAGAACCCTGTCACTCCCCCATCAAAAGGTAGAGTCTACCCCTCTCCCAAACTGAAGTCCTGATTTCTTCTTCCAAACCTGTTTCTCCCTGTATCAATCTTCCCCATATCTCCATCTATCTAGTTTGCCCATGACAAAAACCTTGGAGTCACTTTTGCTTATTCTCTTTCTTATTCACCTTATTATCCAATCCATTAGCAAACATTATCAGTTTAACTTCAAAAATATATTCAGAAACTAATTACTGCTTCTGCTTTATTTACTTTTTATTTTTCTAGAAATGGGGTCTTGCTCTGTCACCCAGTCTGGAGTGCAGTGGTATGATCATAGCTCACTGCAGCCTTGAACTCCTAGGCCAAATGATCCTCTGACCTCAACTTACCAAGTCAGAAAGTAATTGCTTCTATCTTTACTCTTACCAATCTACCACTCTAATCTAAGCCACCCGCTTCTCCTGCCTGGATGCCTGTAACAGCCTGCTAACTAGTCTTCCTGCTTTCACCCTTTCTCCCCATAATCTGGTCCCCATATAGCAGTCAATGTGATCCTTAAAAATATATAAGTTATAGTCTGTCACTCTTCTCAAAACTGTCCCAAGGTCTCCTATCTCACCAAAGCAGAAGTCCATATAATGGCCTAAAGGTCCCATGTGACTTGACCCCCAGCAACGTTCTCACCCTCACCCTGGTGCTCCTCACCTACTTGTCACTGCTCTGTGAATATACCTCCTGACAAAATGTGCAGTTCCTGCTCCCAGCTACTGTCTTCCCCTAGGTGTTCACATAGTTCATTCCCTGTGACAGACTATATTTTCTAAAAATATCTCCAACAATATTTCTAGTTCCACACACTCTTTAAGAACCCTGTCACTCCCCCATCAAAAGGTAGAGTCTACCCCTCTCTTTGGACCTGGGTAGGCTACTGAGAGTACCTATGCAGGGATTTACAAACTTTTTCTTTAAAAAGCCAGATAATAAATACTTTAGGCTCTGGAGGTCATACAGTCTTTGCCACAACTACTCAACTCTAGCACTGTAGCATGAGAGCAGGCACTGAGAATACATATAGGAACAGGAGCAGCTTTGTTCCAATACAATTTTATTAACAAAAACAGGCAATTGGGTGGATTTGGCTTGGAGGGCATGTTTGCCCACCCCTGGCATAGTCAGGTAAAACGCAACAGCAGAGACAAGTGACATTTTTGAGCAGAGGCTTAAAAAGTGATACAGCTTCCACCTCCTGACCCCACTTTCTTTTTTTCTCTTCTCCCCACCTCTGCTCTGCCCTCCCCATCCCCCCCGCCCCATCCCTGGGGTAACATAACAAGTTTGGCCAACCTGAAACTGTCATGTTGGTGAGACCAAATGGAGAGATCCCACAGAGACAGAGGGAGCCCCAGCTATATTTCTAGACCAGGAGACAGATCTGTGAGCGAGTGAGTTTTCAGATAATTTCAGTCCTCAACCTTCAAAGCACCCAAACTGATACCAGGTGTATCAGAGGGG